GAAGCAGAGCTGTGTGCTGACTGGCAATCTGTTTTCCTTGTTTATATACTCACCACAGAGTTCTTTCAAAGCCAAGGTTTGAAGGGATATTTCTTTGGGGACCATAATTACAGAGATAAATAATTTGCCCAGCCTTAAATAATGCAATGATGAGGAAGAGATACATGTTGACTCATGACTCAAACCCACACTTTTTCTGTAGCAAAGCCCAGATTGGCTAAGACCTCTGAGGAGTAATGACTCTTTGGCTACCTAAAGAGGCCAGTGCAGCACACTATGATCTAATCAGGCTGAGCACTATAACTTGAGTTTAGAGGATGTTTTCGGTTTGTGCAAACTTCCCTAATTTTGTTCAATATTGGATGTGGCCAGGCTTGTTACTAGTGTAACATGCATTAAATTTGACACCAGCCCAGGACTAGTAATCGATCCAAGAGATTGCTCCAACTTTTCATGTCCAAGTTTGTGCACCAAGGCATATGTGTCAGATCAAAACCTCCTTGCTTATTCTGTCTGTCCTCGTCATCTTCCACCTGTCCCTGCTGAGCTCTGACTTGTTCATTATAGACCTCTAAGCTGCTGTTGTTAGGTCTGCTCTGCTAATGGACTTGAAACCTGTGGCACATGGCAGTATTTGTGGCACGTACATTTCAAGTAAATATTATCTTCAGAGCAAGACTAGTTTGGTGTTCATGGCTTTCAAACCCAGATATAAACCAACCATCTCACACAAGGAAAGTGGCGTATAAAATGAGAGAACCCACAGAAATTACATAACAGGCTGTTTTTCTGTGCATCTACTGCCTAACACACAGTATTCACCTGAAAATATTTCATTTATTAGTGGATGAGAGAATGCTGCTTTCTAGTCTTGTTGTAGATGTGGTCACTCTCACTTAAGTGGTCATTACAGGCTGGATAATAAATCATGGAGTTCCAACTCAGAGACCTTGCTGTTAGCAATGACTAAAAAGGACAGGCTGAAATGAATCAGGATGCTGAGTGTCCTCTCAGAGGGTGGGCTCTGAGCTTAGGAGCAACACCTGTGTTTCTGAGAACAGACAGTGCCTTGCCTAGTGGAATGCTCTGGCCTAGCTTTCTTTGGATATGTCCTGCCAGTATTGACCTCTATAGATAGGGTAGAAAATAAGCCAGTAGCCAAAGTAACCTAAGAAAAATAATACCGAATTAAGTCTGTTAGGAATCACATGAAACCTTTGAGGTTGTGGACAGTGAAAGGTGGAAGAACAGTATCCCAGGCAAGACCAAGACTGAAGCTTCTGCCTGAGGCCAACGGTCCCTGGTTCAAGAGGATGTGCTGCTAGGAGAGGAGAGCATTCTCCATGCTTTGGACCTAAATAGAAAAGGCTGTCATTGGCACTTAAACTCTGTCTATGAATCCTATGCTAGTGTTTCTCCACAGGACTAGAGTTCAGGGTGCTAAGTAGTTGCTTGAATTTCCATTTTTATTACTGCATTATTAATAATAGTCTAGTGTCAACTTGTGTCTATCAATGTTTGAATAAAGAAAATGTGATATGTATTTTTAGTACCATATATATATATATATATATATATATATATATATATATATATTAGCTAAACCAAATAAAAAAAGAGATCTTGTCCTTTGCAGCAGCCTGGATGAAACAGGGTCTATTATGTCAAACGAAATTAGCCAGGCACAGAAGAACAAATATAAATTGCTACTTATGTGGGGAATTAAAAACCACTGTAGTTGTAGATATAGAGTATAACAGTAGTTATCACAGGCTAGGGATTAGGAGCATTTGGAGATGTTGGTCAGAGGGTGCAAAGTTTTAGCTAGACAAGAGAAATAAGATATTTGATATCTATTGTACATGACACTGAGCATACTTAGTAGTGTGCATACATCACACTGATCGTATAGTACTGTATATTTCAGAATTGCTAAGAGCAAATTTCAGATGCTCTGAGCATAAAAAATCATAATTATTAAACTATTGGCTATGTTGATCAGCCTTAGTTAATCATTCCAAATTGTATATAAATACCATAACAACTCTTAGAACACCATAAATAGCTTCAAGAAAAGAATTTTTTTTGAAATAATTTTTCAGTATCATTTGATTGAGTAAATCCTGGCATGGGAAAAATAGTACTTGATGAAAGCAATGGGAATTTATATATATTCATTTCTTACTGTGCATTAGTGGATATACCAGCTATTATAGATACGTTATATAAAACTCCAGTGTGGGAGATACCTATTACCAACTACTACAGTGCTGATAAAAGGGGATAAGAAACCTTAGATAGCATGTCAAGGGTAATGGAGGTAACAGTTCACATCTATGTCAAAATGCAAACTTCCATTACCTTTCCTTGTAGACGATAAAAGTCATGAATTGGTAGATCTCAACTCAGCTATCCTAGCAAGGTAACCTAGTGCAGTCAAGATACCCTGTGATGGCCTTTCATTGACTTTCATTCACTGTCACAGAGAGTCAATTCAGCAAATTCTATCTTCCCTTAGACATCAGGATCAATCATCTACACCTATCATCGTCGCCCACTTAAGCAGATAACAGCTGCTTTGTTATACAGGAAGTAAGATCAATAGAGCAGCAAAGTTCAAGATTGTGAAGATGGAGCCAAAATATGGACTCAGACAACCAGGGCTGCTGATGGTAAGGGAACCTGCTCAGTCCAAATCTCTCCTAACTTATGCATTACTTTTGGTCATCACATTCTTTTCCTGGGAATCTGTTTCTTTCTATTCTTTTAGAGAAATATTGGGACCAACCTACAGTAATGCTTTTCAAAGCGGTTTTAAACTACAAACCCATTTCCCCAAGTAAATAAAACCCAGGAGTACTCATGTATATGCCTGAGAAACTTTCTAAAATATTATTTTTTGGTTTTTTGCTTTGTGGATTTTCATTTTTTTTTCCTGAGTAAAGAGCGAGATCTTCAGTAGGTGTTAGGTGTAGTAATTTTGGTTTCCAGGCTCAAATCAGAAGCTTATTTTCCCTTGTAAAGCTACACAAGACAATTATGAGACTGTGATGTAGCAGACTTTGTAAACAAGATGGGAGAAGGCATGCCTTTGAGAATTACATGATCTCAGAGTGAGATTTAACTCTGTCCCACAAAACAATGTAGTATTTTGTGTATTTGGGACATAGAGGCATTAAGTTTGATCCAAATTCTGCCAGGCAGTGTGGAGCATTAGTGACCTGACCCTGCAGCCCAACGTGGAGGGAATGCTCAGCAAGGTAAAGCCAGCACTCACAGGACAAGATGCCATATACTTTGTGTTCTCTAAGCTAGGCACTTGTCAACAAAGAGAAGCTTGGATAATATTAGATATAATTGATGTATCTCTAACCGTGATGACCTAAATATTACAGATATTTCCCCATTTTCTTCTGTCGTGGCCTCCCTGACTGAAGTTTGATTCTTCAGAGGAGGGCACTGTAGTGCTGACAGGGATTATGGTTCCCAGCAGGTTGACTGGATATGTGTGATTCCTATAATTGGATTTTATATCATAACATTTATATCTGTTTCTTTTCAAACAAATGAAAATAAGCCTGCCTCATTATCTTATCACCTATGGGCCCTTTCTCCCCATGTGAAAGATCCTCTTTTGAATCATTTAGCAACTTCATATCTGAAAAGTGTGTGATTAAGTCATTTCTAAATCTCATACAGTTTTGATGTATCATGTGATAATGTTGATAGGAACTGTAAGCAGAAATATAAATAGGATATTTTATTTCACAGATTTTCCACACAGGCCTCATGGGGCAATCTGGAGGAATGGAGAGGGAGTTGATTTAGAAATTCTGTGACCATGACAGTTTCACTGTGATCTATGATTACGTTTGTCATTGACCCTAAGGCCTGGCACTATTTTTTAATTTGTACCTAGGATTGAACTCAGTACCTTGTGATTGCCTGGCAGGTGTCTTTGCAGATGATGGCCTCTGGCCTAGCACTTTGTATGCACTTATAAAGAAAACTTTGCAGTCTTGTCACAGTCAGGAGGGGATTATATTTATAATTCCAGGAAATGTTATAGGAATTCTAATAAATAAATTTCAATCTACGAAGTCCAGTGAAACTCAAGGCATGAATAAAGAGTTAAACCAGTATCTGTAGTTGTGGGGAACCAAGGGGGTCCTAAGTTCAGTCAGAACATAGCTAAGTTGAATGAAGGCCACCACCCAGTGCTGAACCCAGGTTTCACTAACTTCTGATAAGAGACAGGCTTTGGTCTTGGATTGGGAGATTTCAGGAGGTTACAATATCAAATCAGTTTGGCCTTGTAAGGAGAGTAGTTCGTAGACAGTGACAACTCTTGGAGGGAGAAAAATGGGCAGCCAGGTGGCTGTAAGCCAAGGTTAGCCTTTGTCTTAGAGGAGAATAGAGAAGGGAATAAATTTCAGGTGAAGGTGAAGAGTCAGTCAGGTTACCCTGCACTCCATGTGTATCCCTAAAGAGAGAAACATCCTGTTCAGGAATACCCTTCCCATACCTAGTCTGATGGGGCCCAGTGGTGACCTCAGTGGTGCCTGACTGATCACCAGCACACATGAAATCATACCCTTCCCTTCTACATGTGACACAAAAGAAGTCCCATGTTCCCCTGGTGTCCTAGAAAGAAAGATGTCCACTTTTTCTTCAGTTGGTGCTTAACTGTAGCCCTTGAAAAAGAGAGGCTGTGGAGAGGTAAAAGTGTATAAGGAGGAGCTGGGTAGCAGTTTTGAGAGGGGATTTGGAGAGGTATTGAGTGGAGGAGCAGAGGAGGCAGAAATCATCAGAACTGTGTCACTGTCCTGCTTAGAATGGAGTTGGTCCCCATGAACCAAAGTAAGTGAGCAAACAAGACACTAGCTGTCCTACTGAGATAAAACATTTATTTAGTTGCTGGCATCTGCTCTAGATGGATTCTAGACTGACCTCCAGATAAGATGGTTGCTCATAGAGGGGATTCAGTTTGCTGTGTGCCATCAGCTCTGTTTCATGGTTTTCTTTATCCAGCGTAGAAACCATGAGACTTTGGTGAGGACACGTTGTGTTGCTCCATTATCTAATCCATAAGACATAATGCCCTCTACCACATTACCACACACCAGGGGGCATCCAGAGTCACCCTGTAAATAGAGAGTGAGTCTGGGAACCAGTGCACTAAGTAAGTTCTCACTTCCATTATTCCAAATAATCTCATGCAGTACTGATTGTAAGGTGTGCCTGTGAGAAATTAAAGGGACCTACAGACTCTTAGCCACTGAGCTCTGAGAATGGACATTTGCACTCTTGGAGTCAGCCTTTGTCTTCATCCCCAGGTCTAGACCTCACCACTGTAGAGTAGTGAGGACCATTGATTTCAAGCAATGGAGTCTGATGAACAGGTTCTACACTGAGCACAGATCATGAGCTCATTGACCAAGAGGGCTGCGGTCTCAGAGAAGAATATAATTCCTGCACACCAAGGAAACAGTTTTCTCATGCCTGTGCCATGAGCTCAGGCAATGTGTTGCAAACTGAAGCTTCCAGTGGGGTCTCCTTCACCAGAGTAACCCTTAGTAAAGTGGTAGTGGCTTTAGTACCTCCCAGCTCAGGCTGCTCCCTTCTTCTCCTTTCTGGGAGAAACATCACAGCCTACTAGGTGAAGGAATCCATGATGCTTGGGTCTCCTGGTACTACATCTGTCCCAAACACTCTTTCCCACAAAGCCAGGTGTGACAGATGCCTAGTCTTGTGATAAATGAAGTATTTTTAATCTTTGGGTCTTCCACACAAATCTCAGTAGCAGGATCATAATACTCTGGAAAGCAGTCCACACACTTCTCTTCCTCCTGCACTACTGTCTCCACTTCCTGCAGTGTGCTGGAAGATCTTCCCTCTGGAGCCAACTTTCTCCATCCAGCCACCTGGCATGGAATACCTGGCTTCACCTGGGTCTTGCGCTTGGGTAGCCTGAGGAGCTGCACAGCTTTAGGCAGCTTGGCCTTTTTCTCCTGCTGGTGGAAAATAAGTAAGTCCAGTTCAGTGTATGCTCCTGGGTATGCACAGTGTGATGGACATGATGGTAAAGAGGGCAGGGGCAGGGTGCCAGTGAAAGTGGCAACTGTTTATGAGGAGAGCAAGAGCCACAAGGACATGTGCCTTACCTTTAGCAGCATGATGTCATTGATGCCAGTTTTCGGATTATAGTCTTGTTGGGGAAAGGCTTTTTGTACACAGATAACCTGCTGGGTGTCCTCTTGTTCCTCGATGTTGTGGGCTCCCAAAGTGACCTCTATTGGCCATACACAGAGGGATGTGGATTGGTGGATGGGGAGCTACAAAAGACACAATCCAGGATCTGTAAAAGCAAGCCACAGCTGATACAGGGTACAGCTGTAGATGACAGAGAACAACCTGTCTGAATGACTGTGCCTCCTTCTTAGTACCAAGGGAGGGCATCTTGGGCACCAGAGGTTCTCAGCAGTCAGTGCCTCCAGGAAAGGGCATGAAACTGCTTTACTTTGCATGGTTATGCCAAAGCACGGTCCTGGGTCTACATGTAATCAGGTTCGATTGCCCTGGTTTTCCTTATAACAGGAATTCTTTGGCACCACCTTGCTTCTCTCCCCTTGGTATCCCAAGAGAATGACCCTTTCTCACCCTCACCAATCCTGCTCATGTTTATGTCCATGAGCTCAGCGAGCTCCCCAGAAAAAGGGCTCTGAGAAGTGTTTCCTGTAGACTGTGGACTGTTTCTCCTTTCTCACCTCTCTAAACAGTGAGCAGTTATCAGGACAAAGTACTCTTGAATCAGGAAGCCACCACAACTGTTTCTAGACTTGATCTTAAGGTAATCCACGTAGGAGCAGGAGTTGCGTTTGGCTTCATGTCCTCTGATGATCTCTCCTGAAAACAAGAAGAAGACTGCGTGCAACCACTGTGTCCCTGAACAAGTATATACTTACAGTCTCAGAACAGTTGGGCATTTGGGAGCCTGCAGTTGCCTAAAGTGGACAGGAACCTAGAGGAAGATGCCTCAACTTGTTTTCCAAAGTGCAGGAAATTGCATCTTGTTCTACACATCCCTTTACTCTGTTTGTATCGGGAAAACAAAACTCCTGAGCTTTTTCATCATTCCTCTGCTAACTTTTTACTCCCCTTGAGTAAATAAAACCCTTCTGATTCCTGTGGCATCTAGGATGGTGATGCTTCCTCCTGGCCAGGCTCTAGTTGTACTGTAGATGTGGTCTTATCCACTTTCCTGGGGCCTGATGTATAAAGGGTATCTCAGAATTGTTCCATGCATCATGAAGGAACAGCTGCAGTTAGTGTCTGGTTAGTAGAGCAGTGCAGCTGGGATTCTGGAAAGCAGAGAAGTGTGAGTCTGCCTATGGAAAACAGAGGAGTCAAGTCTGGAGGAGGAATGCAGAACTGGAGAAAGTTAGTAGGAGTGAGGAAAGGCAAAAACAGTGTTCCAAGGACAATGATTCCAACCATTCAGGGGTCACTGAGCTCTGGGCATCTCTGCTAGGCTTTGATGAATGCAAAGCCTTTCCCTTCCGCTGTCCGGGATGACAGACCTATTCTGACCTGTTTAGGAGTATTTGATATTTTCTCCTTTTTACTTATCACCTGCAAGAACTTTGAAGAAAGACTCTTTCTAGATGTGCAAGCTGAGGCTTACTGAGGGTTCAGTACCCACTGGCTCTTCTTGAGAACAAACTCTGGTAGCTTATGCAGTGTCCTACCACATTCTCTCTGGTGGGATTGGAGTTCAGGTTCAGAGAAATGCTGGCAGACAGAAGGCTCTGGGGTTGTTGCATAAGGACAGGAGATTCATGTGCTCTGTGCAATAAGATTGGGCCTCCAGAGGGTGGAGATGGTCACACAGCTGCTTCTGCTCTGAGGAGGGAAAGAAGGCCAAAGGAGCAGGAGCAGCTGCATCTTCCCAAGAAGCAAGAAGAGTCTCCAAGTCAGAACTTCTGAAGATTTGTCAATGTTGTCTTTTAGCCCCCAGCAGAGGAAAGGGCAGGAGCTGGCTCAGTGACCTCATGTTTGCCACTGGTTTTGTGGTGCTTTACCCTGAGAGGCTTTCCTAAACAACACACTACTGCCACTGTCTCCTCTCATCATGACATCTTTTAAGTGTGTGAGAATAGTACAATGACCACAGCAGATGAGTCTGAGCAAATAATGTGTTCCTGTCCTCACCAGAAACCCAGGTGTGCAAGGTGGGTCTGTAGGATGTGGCATTGGCCAGTACATTCTCAGAAACCTGTGTTCCCAGTGACAGAATTATCAATGCCAGGTTTCATCAGGGTAGTTTTAGAAGCATTTGAGTATTAGGACCATCTCTTGTGCTAGGAGCAAGCATGCTGGAGAGTGAGCTGACCATCTGGTGAAAGAGATAGAAACCCAGTAACCCAATTTCAGGACAGCCAGAGTGTTGCAATGTCCTTAAGAATAACAAAGCCTGGCCAGCATCCACTCAATCTACCTGTGACTCGGATATCATCATAGCCTCCTGCCAAGGTAATCCTAAACATCTCTTATTGAATTATAAACATTGAGTGTGATGGAGTAGGTCTCTCTTCTCAATATTTTTAACAAAATGTCTTCAGTTGGCATTTTTGGTCTAAATTAGCAAATTGCTGTGGGTGCTTGCAATTCAATCTATGTCTTGACATAGGTTATGCCCTTTGCTTTGTTTGTGCTTGTGGATCCCAGTAGAACCAGCTGAACAAAATATGGAGGTGTTTGGGGTGTATATCAGGATAGTGATCCCTTGCTTTTAGGGCTCTTTTTCTTTTCTCTTCTTCCCATTCTATAGGGATTGAGAGTTGCCTTGCTCCATGAAATCCTTCTGCCCTAGTGTTCCTGTTTTACAGCCTGCCTGCCTGAATCCACGGCAAATACTGTTGCTCAAGGGCCAACTGTAGGTCTGAACAATTTGATTTGGTGATTTAAGCTTCCTGTTCATGTTTTACATGTTTTTCTATGAGGAGTACTTCTCTTGAGAAGAAAAAATTCCAGTGTATCTTCCTTTTCAATAGAGAACCATCAACATTTATCAAAGCTGAGCTTGTTTTTAACTGAACTTTCCCAGTAGTAAATAATTAGAAGGCAAAATTTTCTTCTCACAGTAATTATATAACATATTCATTAAGAAAATTCAGAGAGCAGGAAGGAAAAATAGCATGCATTTGTCTATCTCCCCCGACAATTGAAAACTTTATGATACATATTTGTGTTACATAATGATTATACTTATTGTGGGAATTTTGTATGTAATGCATCTTTTTTCTTCTTGTGCTCTTCTTGTCTCTCCTCTTTTCCCTCCTTACAACTCTTAGTCTTCTTCTTATCTGTAAAAAATCTATCACTGTTTATTTGTATATATCTTTTATTTGGCTCTTTAATTTATTTATACTTTAGGTTTCTTATAAAAGAGAAACCATGTGATATTTAATGTTGTGTTGATAGTTTATTTTACTTAACATTGTGGTCCTAAGTAAAATCATTTTCTACAAATGACTCAGTTTTATTCTTCATATGAAAGAGTAGTACTCTATTGTCTACCAAGCCACATTTTTAAAAACGCATCTATTGCTGGACAGACAAACAGTGTGCTTCTAATTTATAGCTGTTGTGAACTGTGCTACTGTGAACATGGATATGAATAAATCACTGTAATAACGTTTCTTGCTCTTTTAGGAAGATAGGGAAACTTCTGTCTTTAGAAGGGAGATGACTGGACTGACTAGAAGTTTACTTAATTTTTCTGAGGAATCACGGTACTGATTTCCATGGTCTTATTACTGCCCATTAAACTTATGCAGTGAGCATATTAACTCAAGGCAACGCTGTATATATACTGCAATTTATTCCTATTTTACTCATTCTTAATTAATCTTACAATTTAAACCACATTTAAAATATACAATTAGTCAGTATTACCTTAAAATTGGTTTTATAGTGTTATTAAAAAATTAATATGCAATAAAATTCTAAAGTAAATTTAAAAAGCAACATAATCAGAGTATAGATAATTAAACTGTGCCAGATCTTTTGCTAAGTGGCATAAACAATTAAAATTACCTGATTTTTTTCACTCATTCATACTTAGCTTTAATGTTTTGAAGTATGATCTGATATATTTTTTATGTATTATTTGCATTCATAAATTTAACAAGGGATGATGTTAAACACATTTATGACTCATTTTTAACAGTGAGGGGAATTTTAATATATTACATGTGTAACTATTTTCAAGCATACAATTCAGTAGAATTTATAGCATACAAAACGTGCATTTGGAATTGCAAAATATTTCTAGCACCTCAGAGCGTTGTATAAATATTAAATGATTGCTCCCCATTTAGCTTTTTCTCATAGTCCTCCTCACTGCACCACTAATGTTTTTTCTCTATGCACTTGTCTATTTTGAATATTGCCTGGTTGGATCATGTTTCTAAAATCATTCTTTAAATCTTTGGCAAGTTTAAACTATTTATATTTAAAATGATTACTTATAATGAAGGGCTTATTTCTGGCATTGTGCTACTTGTTTTTCATGTCATGTGTTTTCCACTAATCAGTTCTCTCCATATTGCGTTAGCATTTCTTACAGACTGGCACATTTAAAAAATCAGGATATTGTCTTTTTTTGGTTTGTTTCTGGTGGTACTAGAGGTTGAACCCAGGGTCTTTGGACTGAGGTAAATCCTACCTTTCTCTTTAGTTTTTAATTTGGGATAAGATTTCATTAAATTGCTTTGACTAGACCTTAGATTTCTCCTGCAGCATCCTTCCAGAGTCTTGAGACTGCAGGCATCTACCACCACCCCTCACTTACTGCTGAGTGATGAAGGACAGATTCTCTAGATGTAGAATCCTTGGTTAATGGCTTTCTTTCTTTTCTTTCTTTTTTTTTTCTCTTGGTACCGAGTGTTGAATTTACACCCTGCACTTGCCAGGCAGGGCCTGTTCCACTAACTGTATATCCTGCCCATTAGGACTTTCTTTCTGCACTGTAAGGAAATGGTCCCAGTGCCTTTGGCCCTTAAGGTTTCTGATGTTAGATCAACTGTTAATCTCATTGAGAATCATTTTCTGGGATGAGTCACTTTTATTTTGATGTTTGGAAAGTTTTCTATTTGTGTTGTAACAGTTTCCATGTAGTAAGTGCCCTTTTGAGTTTTGAGTTTAACCTGCTAAGAAATTTTGAGCTTGTTGGGTTTGTGTATTCTTAAACTTCATCATATTTGGGAAGTGTGGGGCCGTCATTTATTGGAACTGTTTTTGATTTTGAAATTATCTTTCTTTCTTCAGTATCTTGAACTTCGATTCTCTCTCTGTTTACATATATATATATATATATATATATATACATATATATGATATATAAAAATCATATGATATATATGATATTGTATGTGACCTATAGGACCCTTAGACATTGTTCATATTTCTTTATTTCTTTCGTTTCTCAGACTGAGTTATTTCATATTTATGAAAATTTCTTTTCTTCTCTTTGTTCAGATCTGTAGTTGGACTTTGTTAGTGAACTTTTCAGTTCAGTGATAATGCTTTTAAGCTCCAGAAATAAAAACTTTTGGATTTTTCAGTATTTTTCCTTTTTGTATATCATGTCTAGTTTCATTTAGCTATTTGTCAGTTCACTTCAGTGTTTTGATCATGTTACACTTGGCAGATTTAAAACCTTTGTTGAGTCTATCCAATGCCTAAGATATTCAAAAATGTTTTACATAAATTTCATTTTTTGTGAGTGGGTGATACTTTATTGCTCTTTTTTATTCTCTGTAATTCTTTGCTCAAAACTCCTCATTGGGTGTATTGCAAAGGTAAAAGTTTCCTCACACTATAAATTTTATTTTCCTTTCCATAACATTCTGTTTACACATGGCCCAAAGCTTATACTTTGTCTTTCTAGAGCGATGGATTATTTCTCTTCTAATTTTTCCCATGGTTCTCATGCTGTGAACATTTTTACCACATCTATGGAGGATGTGGCAGATGTGTATTTTGTGGTAGGTAAGAGATGTGTTGAATTCTTTACTGAAACATCAAGTGTATGATTGTAAAATTAATGTTAAATAAATCTTTGTATCTCTAACTTCTGCTTGCTAATTATTGTGGTGTATCTTCTATTGTCTTGCGTTTGTGTGACAGACCAGGAATAGAAACCCCTAATATATTCAGCTTCTGTTCCCAACTAAAAAATTAAGAACAGCCTAATGCATACATGTGAAAAGTGTAGGCAGCCTAGACCATTCCAGGCTGCCCTTCAACGTGTGCTCTATTTGAAACGAGGTATCACACAAAACTGAGAACATTGTTGTCATTGTATGTGTCTAAATATTCCCCAAAGCGTCATGCAGTCTTAAATGTGGCTTTTTCTGAGGAGGCTGCATCTAGAATGTGTGACACTGAGATTTATCCAAAGTGCAATGCTTAGAGGAAAGGCTTTGGGATTAAGGGTGTGAGTGATTCCTGTTCTGCATAACCCAGATAAAATACAAGGGATAGAAAGTGCCACCATTGTCCCTTGTCAAGTTTTGTTGTTTTCGCCCTGCCATGAATCGTTTTCCCTCTCCAATGCCTCTCTGCCATACCACCCTGTCTGGAAATTGGTCAGTTATAGACTGAAACCTGTGCAAATTGTGAGTTAAATAAAATTGTTTCCCTTGAAGTTTTTGTGTTGGGCATTTTGTCTTATTCATGAAAGAAAAGTAGTCCTGAGAGTTGTATTGGTGGCACATTGCTAGTGTGATTACTGAGCAACCAATTGCTTCCTTATTGTCATTAATTCTGTATGCTGAATCATTTGCCCAAACTTCCAAGATGAGAGTTTACAGTGTAGGCTGGCACACTCAAATGTCTTTCTGGACTACACTAAATTCTGCAAAACTTTGGTTCTCTCCTTCAGGCTCCCAGGTGTCTGATCTCCAGGTCTCTTTGCCCTTACAGGTTAAGATCCTGAATTTGCAGTTATGAGTTCTTAACTTATGCACAGATCGTAAGTGGTACTTAACAACGCCTGAGGACATAATGGGAACTGGAATTAGTGGGACTGGTATCAGTTCACATTGTTGCTTTAGGTTCTTTCTCTCCAGAAATCTCAATGTTGCTCCAGTCGTCACAGAATCAGTAAGACCAGGGCTGTATTTTTCCCTATATTTTATAATGGGTTAAATGAAGAGGAATTAGTTGTGAGAGGTTTCCCATCTTGGGTGCTGTGAAATGTTTCTGAAGGAAGGATCTTTATGGTGCAGTGAACTGCTAGCTCAGTCATAAAAATCTGAAGAAGTAGGGTAAAGGCACATCATAGCTATCCTGAAATAATTTGTGACTATTACTCTGTACCAGAGTGTATGAAACAAACACAATGAAAGGGAAGATACAGGGCATCATTATTAATCCATACTTTACCATGTTTTCAAAGACATTTATTTAGCTTATCGCACTGCAGTTTATATATCCTGCACTGGAATTACATTTACACATTCTAAGATGAAACAGTCAGAGATATTAAGTGATATACCAATAGTCACATGGTTTATGAAAGTTTGGAACACACAAACACACAAAAGTTGCATACTTATTATACTGAAAACTATCTATTACTCTTACAAGTCGTCAAAAGAACACTGAATAGATTTCAGGTCATCAAAAGGAAGTGATCTCATAATTAGAGATGTCTTTTGAATTGTCACTCAGGTAAGTCTAGATTTTTTTTTCAGGCAGTTCTTGCAATAGAGGCAGCAGGATATCTTAGCACGCTAGCAGGTTACAGAGGGTTTTGGGGGAAAGATCACTAGAAAGATTTCAATGCGGCTCTGAGTTTATCTGTCATTTGGAAGAGTCTGAGGTTTAGAATTCTGGCCTTTGCTTCAGTTACATGGCTCAGTTGCCTATTTCTGGATTTCATCATCTCATTTGACAGAGACACTATAGGCTGTATAAAAGGCCTTTAAAATGTTTTTAACTATAATGTCAGTTAGAATGGGAAATGTGAGTGTCAACCTGGCTTTTTGAATCTCCATATTTCTCTAACTTTCTATATGCAATACTTCTCTCTGTGTTTATGTACATTTTCATATACATTGCCACACCTGTATGCATATTAAATATATGGTTTTTTGTATAATTACATATGCAGAACATACATCTAGATTTATATTTGTGTGTTTTCATGTACATCATTTTATGACTTTGTTTCTTTGTATGTCTTCATTTTTACCTTATCAAGCATAGCCTGGAACACCTGTGTCACAGGAGACATTTTTTTGACTCAGTTAGAATTTTTGAAATGAGGTGCTTCACCCTTATTATGAAGGTGACCCGAGTCTTTAAGATATTCTCCTACCATATTCTCCATAAACAAAGGAATGCAGGTGGCACGCACAGAAAAGAGAATATTATGGCAATGTGAAAATGAATTTTATACTGGTTGTTTGTGAGTATATTGGATGAGGGGTCCTTGTGCACAAGGGTAACTAGACAACACTCCAGTTGGCAATAAGATAACAGGGAATGATTGCTCACTATACTTGAGCCAAGAACAGCCTAAAAAGATGGACACAGTGTCAAAAGTTGGTATCATAGCACAAGTGTGGTGTGTACATTAAACACTGTGTGAATTTGAGGGGTCACTGTGGGTATGCAAAGGAAACATGTAGCATTAACAATTATGGATTGTGGGTTCAGGCTGTTACTCAATTTTCTGGTGCTACGTGAGCTTCTTTGAATCTAATGTTCTTTTAAATATGTAGTGGTACGTGGTATGACTTCCGTGTTTCAGTTTACACTACACTTTGGGGTAAACCATAAAATGTGGCTGCTCTTTTTTTTTGGTTTTTCTCCCTGTATGCCCGCATCTCACAGTGCGTACACATTTGGAAACCTTCAGACCAGAAGATCTGCCCAGTCTTTCTAATTCCCTGTTTGTTGTACTAACTTAAAATGTGACAATGCTCATGAATATTTTTAGTGTAAGAAACATAGACGCGGTTATCCTAAATATTTTTGTTTATGTGGATTTCTCAGACAGATTCAGGCTAACCAAATTAACCTGGGTGAAGGAAAACAAGGCATTGGTACAATGTCAGATGGCTGAAGTTTGTGAAGGTTTGGAGGTCTCCCACCAAGCTTGCTTTTGAACCTCCAGCACCTGGCACCTGATTTACATCTATTTGCTGATGAATAACAAATGGGTGATTTCAGTCTTTCTGAAGAAAAATCTTGCAGGTATTCTAAAGGTAGGTACAACCTGGGGAGGCACCTATGAACTTAGAGCAGAGGCTATGTTGGGATTGGTGAAGCAGGGCTGAAGCTATTGAATTAGTTCCTTTCTCAGTGCATCCTGAGCTCATGAGGGTTGTTGGACCAGGGTATGAGAGTTTTGTTTGCATAGCCACAAAATGGAACTGAGAGCTCTGTGGAGAGTTCTTGCCTGATTTTCCTCTACGACTATCCTGGGACCAGCAAATACTGACTTCTTAGAATCACTCTCAGAGAAGTTAAGAGACAGGAAAAAGACCTACCTGCATAAAAGTACCCGTTAGTCCACTGGAAAAGTCGCATCACACAAAGACATGCTCAGGGAGTACAGTGTGAAGAAATGAATAGAGACACAGGGTCAGTTCAAGGTCATTTCAAGGTGAAGTGCTAGGCTGACAGATCTTGTAAAGCAGGTGTGTTCAACCCATTCCCCGAAGGCTGTAAATGTCTCTCACAGGCAGCCTCACAAGATCACACACTTTTAGCAATTTTCAGTGATTTTCAGCACTATTTTTTATGATTTGACTGTACAGTGCTCTTGCACAGACTGTGTGACAGTGGAACTCTGTATGCGTGGGCACAGAGCGGTGTTAACTCTACCATCCATGCTCACCACACACAGTGCATCATGAACTGCTGTTTACAAGGATGAAGAACAGAAAGCATAAAACTATATCAAAATTTTCTGAGAAGCATCTTCAAAACTAACTAAATTGTAACCACTTTCAGTGAACCATTTATGGATGAATTAGTTTCACAAATCAGGCCAAAGATGCTATTAGATTTATGTTTGCATTTTCCCCTTTAAAAGAGTGAAAAGAAAAATATAAATGTTTGATATTCATATACATTAGCTATATTATAGATTTAAAGTGTAACCCGCGACCATTTCTTTTTATATACTTTAGACGAAAAAGTCTACAGATGTTGTGGTATTAATGGTCCAAATTTTTATACTGGTTTAGGAAAGACCATGGACATAAGAGGCACTTGGGCATGGGGGAAATAAGCAGTGTGTCAGCTTCCTAGCTCTCCAGCATTCCTGGCTGACCCGACTAGGTGAAATCATGTGCACCCTTCCTGGGCATTTTTTTTATCCTCATTGCAGAGGAGACAGAAAATATAAAGGAGGTCCTGTTTCACACAAGAGTTAGTAAATTGTTTTCTTGCTTAATCATAAATGGGTGTCCTGTTGTAGTAACTTCTATCATCATTTCAGGTGACTGCTTTCCTTTTGTCCCTTACAGGTAGCTTTTGAACACATTTATTTCAGTGATTTCCTTTTTGTCTCTTGGCGGGTTGCTCACTTTCCCCTTAGTGCACACAATGCTCTCAGGAATATCATTTATATATTTGTCTCAGTCTTCTGAGGATATGCAAGTGAAATAGGTTGGCTAGCTTATTATGTCCTTTCAATTTTCACTTACCGTATGTATTTCTCATTGGGATCTGATAAGGTTGGATAGAGGTTTAATCACATGCAGGCTGTTTAAAGTACTTGCTTTTTGATGAATCATTGCCAGCCTATGAAGTTAAATTATTTTCCTTATAATTAGTGATTTTCCTTCAGGTGAGTGAGGGATGAAATAACTGCTTAATGTTTTTAGCCTCATTTTTCCTAAGGCTACTAAAAATCCTGCCTCACCCTTATAATACTATATTATGTGGATACATCATGGCTCCATCTTCCTAATATGTTATTATTCAAACTATTTCTAATTTCTGATAATATTAAGCAATATTGAAACTATAATCTTTATGCTGAGAGCTCAGTGCATGCCGTGTGCAGTGTTGTGTGTGAGTGTGCCCCTATGACCGCACTTTCATTTCGGTTTGCATGATGTTCTCCCAATAGTAGAATTACTGTACTGTATTATTGTCAGTTGGCACAAATGTTGCACCTGGGGAAAATGTTGGTAATGAGGGAGATTGCACATGCGTAGAATCAGGAATTTGGGGGAAATCTCTGTATTTACCTATCCAGTTTTCTTTAAACCTAAAATTGCTGTTTAGAAATTGAAGAGTTTGCTTTAATATTAAAATAGCTCTTTAAAACAAACATAAGCCCAAAGGAACAAACAAGCCATTCAAGATTTATAGAACAATTGATATAAGTAAAGTAAGAGTGCATGTAAAAATAGTCATATCAATAACTATATAAATCATAATTCAGAATAATTCATAAATCAGTGAAAGTCCAAGATAATCAGAGTGGGGATAAAAGTGTAATATAAACACATGTTATGTGTAAAACATTGCATAAGTTGAAAGGAGAATTAAAATAGAAGTACACACAGAATACCAGTATAGGTTGAAAAGAACAGTAAATACTGAATTTTAAGAAAATAGCATTGTGAAGGACATGTACATTTCTTTTCATGAAGAATATCAGTTATATTCCTTGGGAAGATATATTAATTTTAATTCATTTGATTGAATATAATTGACAAAATCAAATTTACTTAAGTTGCACAGCATCATGTTTTGGGATAGCTGTGCACTTTGAACCACTGCTACAATCACCTCACACACAGCAAATTTTGACTCCTTCTGCTTTAAGTGTTTTATAATAGCACAAGTCAGAAATACTTTTAACCAAAAAGAAATTGTGTTCAGCATCTCATTCTCAGAGTCATTAAACGATTAGTGAATACCATTCTCAACAATTTCATATTTCTATATTAATGTATTATTGAAAATAAAACTATCTATCATGTTCCTGTATAGGATTTTGTACCCTGATTTTTCACCTAATGAACTGTACTGGACACATTGTTACCTCAGTAAATTCATGTCAGCATCACAATAACTTAATGACACACTTAATAACTTTTTCCATACAAAATAGTGCCTTAACTACAACTTTCTCTTGCTCCTCTTTATTTCCTATCTATGGTCAAATAGTAGTCTTTATACTACTTTCATGTCATGTTTTACATTCCACACATTAGGGAAAACATACAATATTTGTCTTTCTGAAACATAAATTTTCATTTAACTTGATCACCTTCAGTTTCATCCTTTTTTTGCAAAAAACATAATTTGATTATATTGATGGCCGAATAACATTCCATTGTATGTATACACCACAATTTATTATTATTATTATTATTATTATTATTATTATTATTATTTTCTTTTAAAATGGGAAAAAGAAAACTTAACAAAACAGAACAAAGCAGATCAGAAGAAAACAATGTAAGTGACAGAGATTTCAATGCAAGACAGTAGGAGATCTACTGTGGCTAGCATATCTCTTGTTTCTTTCTAAATTGTTGTCCAGATCTTCAAAAACAATGAATTCATACAAAACAATGTAGTATAAAACAGATAGAAACAGAGCAATCTAGGCATTACAGACCTTCAAAACCAGACAATAAGAATATCAACAATGACTGCAATAATGTCTCTTGTTCTCTTCAAAATAGAGCCGTGCAGCCCTTCATGTATGTTGAAATTCAATAATAGAAAACAGACTAAAACCACCCTGAGCAAAGAATAAAAGCATTACTGGATTTCACAGCATGATGATACGGGTATCAACAATGGGTACCATAATGTCTCTTTTTCTTCAAAGTATCTGTTCATCCTACCATGCATAATATAATCGATTCTCTTAAACTGTTTAAGAGAAGTTCTAGGCATGTATATGCCTCTACATGTATACCTATCCTTTCTGTATTAGCAGGAAAAAAACAAACCAAATCAAACCAAACCAAACAAAACAGATTACTAGAAAAACAAGAAACAAAAAATGCAAATGAATGACAATAGCTAAGTGCCCAAAACAATGACGATATAGGCCTGCACAACAAGGAGACATAGTCAGGGTTATTACTTTGTATCTTGATCTTCACAAGAGTTCCTCACATCACCAGACCCAAATCTACCAAATTGTTCCAACTCTATGAATGTTAACTGCTTTGTTCCAAGAAATAATAGAATTTTTATCACAATCATCTTAGCTATCCGGTGTGTTTATACAAATGTAGATTTTTTTTAATTTTCCCATCCTATTTCATTTTCCTCCTTTTCTCTGAGATATTCTTTTTCTCCTTTGAGCAGATAATTTCCCTATCACTGTATTTATTGAGGATTTTGTATCTTATATACTCTTACCATTTCTTACACTAGGAAGAAAAAACAGTATTTACACATGTGAGTTTGATTTGTTTCATGTGTGAGTACGGTGTCAAATTGCATTTGTTTACCTATAAGCATGTCAGTGTTATCATTCTTCATAGCTGAGCAGTACTCCTTGTATAAAAGTACCACATCTTTTTTATCCATTCCGCAGTTGATGGGCATTTATGTTGTTTCCAAGATCTGATGTTTTCAATTCTTCTGGAAATGTGCCCAGAAGTGGAATAGCAGGGCAAAATGTGACTTCTCATTCCAGCTTTTATGGGTACCTGTAGACTGAACCTCATAGCGGGTGCACCATCTCCTGCACCAACAGTGCCAGAGGGTTCCTTTTTAGGCACAAAATCTCCAGGATTTGTTGATTGTAGTTTTCTGGATCCTGGTCATTCTTTCTCCAATGAGATGCAACCTCAGTGTGGTTTGAATGTACATTTGTCTAATGAACAATGGTGACAAACAATTTTTCATGTATTTATTTGCCATTCATATTTCTTTATGAGAGAAATGTGTATTCATCTTAGATGCCCATTTTAGGATTGGGTATTTGAATATCAGGGTACTGAAATTTCAAAATTCTTTATATGTTCTGGACTGAAGTTCTTTGAGAGACAGTTGACTAAGATTTTTTCAAACCTCATGGGTTTCTTCTTTACTCTGCTGAAGATTTCTTTTAACCTGCAAAACTTTTTAATAAGACAAGAACCCAGTTATTGATTCTGGGAAGCATTTGGTGCAGTTTGATTTTTGTTCATGAGTTCTCTACCTACCATACTACTTACCTCTTCATGATTTCTACCTACTTTGTCTTCCAGAAAATGAGTATTACTTTTGTTTTAATATTTAGATCTTTTTTCCATTTTGACTTTAGTACATGAAAATAGGCATGGGTCTACATATATTTTTCGGCTTGTGGAGAGCCAGTTTTTCCACTAGCACTTTTTAAAAGGACTATCTTTCAGTGAACATGTTTGGCTTCTTTATCAAGATAAGGTGGGGGGGAACATGGCAGACAGATAGCAGCAGCTATGGAAGCTCTCTGAAAGACCCAGCTTAGAATTCAGAAATGCTGCAGAGTAAGGATTCATAGCCAAGTGGAGATTTGCCCTGCTGACCCAAGAATGAACTGGGCTGAGAGAAACCAACTGGGAACGCAATCCTGG